AAAATGAATTAGAACTTAGAGATTTCCAAAAAATAGTTTTAACCCCGAATGGGACACGAAAGCGTACGTTTGGCCCTTAGAATTATGATTAGCGTCAATAACCATCGTGAGACGAGAGTCTTCAGATAACTATTTTCTGCTTAAATAAACTCTGAAAAATATTTCATATACCGGCAACTTGTCAAATCCCCGAAGAACATAATTACTGCATATCGATTCACATAATTATAATTTAAGTAACATCTTTAGTTCCCTTTAGTGACAATCTTATTCAATTAAGCATTATCTACCTAGCTAAACATAGTAACTCCCGAGAACACTAGTTTGATTACGAGTCCCTATGGGATCGATATCTATTATTACTACGCGATAAACTGTGCACTTGCAGTTAAGTTGTATTAGACATAGAAAGTCGCGATCAAGTCGCAACAAATCAACAAGGGTAAGATGCCTGAAACTTCCAAGGTTCCCAGAAAAGCATTTGTTCCTCGATTTAGGATGTGCCTTGAAACATATGTCGGAACATCAGATGTGCCTGAGGGTGGCATCCGTCAAATACACATGGAGGTAGGTATTTTCGGTTTTGAATATCCCGAAACAATTGCTAAGGAGGATTTTGATCAGGTTTTCAACCATTCTGAATTGGGCGTCGGTGTTATGTATTCATACATCAGGTACTTCGATCCATTTTAATTAAATAATTGAACATTTTAAAATTTGCTCGTTTAACTGAATATTCTAATGTTGATTATGTTTTTTTAGGTTCTTGTATGACAAGTTATTGGTCCCGAATGAATTGACTTCAGTATTCGCATTCTTATCTGCTAGCTGTGTCAACTCACGTATAATAGACCAGACACCTGATACAGTCAAAGAGTACACAGTGCAGAGATTTATGTGCGCGACTACGGAGAAGTTGTTCTTGTTGCCATATAATACTGGCCATGGGTTAGATTTTATTCTAAATTCATTTATTATAATTGTTCGATTTTTCCCTTTCTATATAACATTTCCGTCTAAACTGTTGTCTTATTTTATAGTGGACATTGGTTGTTGATCGCGATTAATCTGACGAAAGAAATAGTGTATTATATAGATTCATTGGATGACGATACAACAAAATATGAAAATCTGAGGAACTTTGTTGATACGTAAGTGATGAGATATACTGTTATCTTTAATTATATATCTTTATTTATTATGTGACATTGTTCTAAATATGCGTTTATATTATGTTAGAGTTATACAAATATTCAGAGCACAAAGAGATGCAACGGTGCCAAAAAGTAAGGCTAACAACATCAATTGGATCAGAGTGGAGGTATATTTTCGCATGTTCGACTGTTATAGTGGTTCTACTTGATAAAACTATTTAAACTATATATCCTGATAAATGTTCGTTTGTTTTTTCCATTTACAGTGTCCTCGGCAGCGCAATGATATTGACTGTGGATATTTTGTATTGCGCTTTATGAGGGAAATTATTCATTTTGGTCAACTTGAGATTCCAGTCATGGTATGGATCAATTCATTATATAAGTTATATGATTCATTTTGATAATTATCCGATACTTCATCTGAGTAATTAGTTTTAAAATTAAATCTTATTCGATCTGTTATATTATGTAGTATTTTGATGAATTCAGGTGCGCTACTTACACGAAAGCAAAATTGGAAGAAATTAAAGAGGAATGGTGTCAATTTATTCTTGGGTTGAGAATTGTATAGAGTTATCGGATTGGAAGAATTGTAATTATATGTAAATTGAATGTATTTGTGTTGTTGTAATTCTGAGGATCGAATTTTGTTGTAACATATTTAAACAGGTTTATATGTATATTAAAATGTTTATGAACAAAGTGATGAGTTACAATGTATCCAAAGTTTTGAATTGTATATATAAGGCCAAAGTTTTGAATTGTATATTTAAGGCCAAAGTTTTGAATTGTATATATAAGGCCAGAGTGTTGAAATAAAGGCCTGAATTATAAGCAGGTTTGTGTAATATAAGCAGGTTGTTGGTAAATATATAAAACAGGGTGAATATTTTTTTAAAAAAAAAATTTAATCTGGGACATTAGACAGCGCTTTTACAAAAAAACCCTGCTAAAGGTCACAAACATTACGCTACAAAAGCGCTGCTATAGGTTTGGAAGGGGGGGTCTAAGACAGCGCTTGTAAAAAGCGCTGCTAAAGGGGGGGCTATGGCAGCGCTTTGTAAAAGCGCTGCTAAAGGTGGGCTCTAAGACAGCGCTTTGTGAAAGCGCTGCTAAATGGGGGATGGTTGGGGGGAATATGCAGCGCTTATGAAAGCGCTGCTAAAGGGCTATAAAAGTGCTGCTGAAGGGAGCCTTTAGCAGCGATTTTTCCATAAAAAAAAAGCGCTGCCTTTACCTTTAGCAGCGCCACTTTTGGCAGCGCTTTAAAGCGCTGCTAAAGGTCTTTTTTGGCATAGTATTTGCTATCACTCTGCCCAATTCCTTACTTTGCCATCAGAGTGTCTTGCAGGTACACCCCCTCCTCCTCTTCAACATTGGTGAGCAGGCAGCAGGTCAACGGCGTGTGGCAAGTCTTTGGTCCCCTTCTGATCAGGTCAGATCACTATGTAATAAATTAAATTGTAAAATAAAAAATTAGCAGGTCAACCTGTTAACTTGTTAGTAAACAGGACATATTTGACATTTGAACTCGGACGTCTAAGTTGATCCGCTTTGCACCGCTTTTAAACGGGTTTAAATGGAACAGACTTAAACGTGATGCACTGACCACTTTGTCACCCCTACATAGATACTTCTTTTTGTCATACTAATGGTTTTTTAGACAATTTGTAAAGTAATATTCAAATAAAATTCATAGAAACTAAAATCACATTTAAATAATATATCAATTAAAACAAAAAACTAAATTATTCTTTTCTTAAATAATATTAAAATACATTTTAATAATATAAAAATGTATTTTTATCCCACTTCATTTTTGTTTAGGAAATGAATCATTAAAGAAAGCAATGACATACTTGCCACTAAATTATAATTTTGTTAGCTAGTTGGTCTGATCTGCTTGTAGAATTTGTTTATTTTCCTTTTTGTTTCTCTGGGTCTTGGTCCTCTCTATTATAAAAATAATAAAAAAAATTTTATTAAAGCAATTCACAAAATATTGGTATGTTTGGAAAACTTACAGAATATTTATTACTGATAATTATAAAAATAAATATGAAACAAAATTTATCACTAAAACATAATAAAAAAAGTGTGATACAAATATTTGTCAAAGACTATTATAGAAAAAATGTTGGGCCCAACAATAAATACATATAAAAGATCATGATAAATATTTTTCACAAATAAATAAATAAAATAAATATATCACAATAAAGAAGTTATTTATTTTTCATATAAAAAAATTAAAGAAATAAAAAAATTTAATCTTTCCATAAAACTAAAAGATAAATATTTATATAAGAGATTTTCACATCTGCATTGGAACTTAAATCTACAACTTTTCGATTGAATGTTATTTTACTAATTAAGTCAAATTTTCATAATTTTCTATTATTTATATTTTATTTAATTTCAATTATATTAGTTAATTTCATATTATATATTTTAATAAATTTAAATATTATTCATTCTATATTTAATAATAATTTAAATAAAAATAATATTTATAATAAATACGTGCAAAAGCACGAGTAATTGGCTAGTTTAGAAATACAAGCAAACACCATTGAATACATAGATATAGTTTGAAAAATGCTATTCTTACACTCTTTCCTACACCCTACACCCAATTAACTGTTCACAAATACGTGAACAAATTTCTCAGAATATGGTTAATAATATGTATTTTATTGGTTAATGAAGTAGTGAAAGTGGTTAATAAATTATAGGTAAAATAATTGGTTAATAATGTAGATTTTTGTGGTTAATACAACTGTAAAATTGGTTAATGCGCAATCTTATATTTGTGTTATAAAATAAATTTTAAAAATAAATATTTTTTTTTTAAAAAAATTAATATTTTAAAAATATATATATTATTTTATTAAAAAATACACTGTTCACCGTATAAATACGGTGAACAGTGTATACGGTGTAGGAAATGGGTGTAGGATGTGGTGTAAACATAGCATTCCTAATATAGTTTATATCAACTTTTAACTAAAGTCAACCTCCCTGTATAAAGACAGTTGATTACATTTTTTGTTTAATTAAAAAAATATCTTCTTTTTTCAATGCCTTTTCCTTTTCTCCGAACTTGCAAATAAGACTTTAAAATATTAAAATAATATGGCCAAAAATATAGCCTTAAGTAGATAATGTATTTTTTTAACTAGCAATTTCTCTATTCCTTTAGTGTCACAAATAGATAACACAAACCACTTTTATTTTATTTTATCAAAACATCATTTTCTCATTTGTCTAATGAAATGATAATGGGAGTCATTAATTAATCTAATAAGAATAACACACTTAAACAAATAAGAGTGATAAGTATCACCTAATTAAACAACAAAAAACTTGTAACCTATAAGTATTTAAAGTAACTATTTGTCATAAGTGTGATTTACCAAAATATCAAGCTTTTAAGCACACAACTACCCCCTCACATACCGACATCAATGTTTGAAAAACAATAAAGTTTAAGATAAGAATAGTAGCTACAAATTAAGACCCTACGTGGTTCCAAAAACATAATATAATGACGCAATGTTCTGAATTATCTTCTATAGATCCATTTCCATGACCCACAATTATTTCATTTGTTTTTAGTTCAACAAGAAAGGAAGCAATAAAAAAAAGCATGAAAGTTTGGAAGGTAACAGGTATGGAAACAAATAATTAACAACACATTTATTTACTATTAATAATTTATGCAAATTCAATCACAATATTTAAGAATTGTGCTATACCATGTTTCAGAAATTTCATGTTTGACGAGGAAGAACTAAGAAGCATAATTGAGTTGAACAAGACCTTCAAAGAGGTTTTACAAAAATGGGTTCATCTTGTTTTTTCTTAATATGTGTTCTTCATTCAACAATTGCTTTAACATGTGGATCATTGATGGTTTTTTACTCCAAAGAGATACATGTGTTAGGACATGGATCAAAGACAGCAATTAACCTTCAAGGGTCAACACCACATGATCAGTTATTGATTCAAACATCAGATTCCTTCTCTGGATTGTTGTTGTTCACTATTGGATTTCTTGTCTTCATGGTTGCTTGTGTTAAGGATATGGAGTTTCAAAGTTTCTTTGCTAAAGGGTGTGTGTTGCTTCATATTTCAATGGCAGTTTGGAGATTTTACTTTGTAGGTAAGGTTGAAGATCTTGCTTGTGGTTGCTTAAGACATGTTGTTGGAGATATTGCTTTGGCTATTTCTTGGGTTTATTTTCTTGTTTATGTGTGGAGGGAGAAATATGATTAGTAGTTAGTTACTTAAAGTGAAATGTAAATTTGTGGTGTGGTTTATAGAAACAACATATGGATACAAGTTTAGTGTAAATTTTTATTGTACTCTATAGTATTAATCAAATGTGTTTTTCTTTTAACTTGTTATATTATCATGTACATCATTTGATATTTTATATTATGTTCAGATCTAGATTCTTCAATTCAACTACATAAAAGAAATATCTCAAATGAACCTCAATATGGAATGGAATAAAAGTACAAGTTGTTATTGTCACTATTCTTTTACTTCAATCTTTTTAGTTTTATCATGCCACTTGTTTGTCTTGTCCTCATAAATTATAACATTCTCTCGGATGAGATTCTAAAACCCTTTGAGTTGGTGAAGATGAAGAATTGTGGATTCCCTTGCCTGTGAAAGATCAAATTCTAGAATTAAATTTGTGGTCAAATTATGCTTCAATTTTAAGGGTAAAGGTTAAGGCTTTACATATATCATATGGTACATAGACATGACAATAGGTTTAAAAGGTGTTTGTGTAGATCCTAAGTGCATTGTTTAGTTTAATTGGCCAATTCTTTCTTGGGAAATTTGAAGTCTTCTCTAAAATTTGTTTGATTTTTATTCCCAAGTAAACTAAAATTGTAATTGAATTGTAGTGGTGGATTTTTATCCGGTGATACGAGTCTTCAGCACGGTAATGTGGGAGTGGATTTAGAAGGTTAGCATTCAAACGTGTTTAAGTCAGTTACAAAATTCAAAAATAGATGAAGTATAAGTTTGAAAAGAGTGCGTGTACCATATACTTTTTGTATGTCACTTATATATGATGGACAATTTCAATGGGCTTTTTCTCACTGGACTTGGCACTTGAAACTTATTCGTATTGGGTATTTGATCTGCGCATAACAGTTGTCCCGTGTGTTTTATCAGTTAGGAAGCCTTTCAAAGTTGAGGTCGGTATCTCATCATTAAAGTCGTCCATAAAGAGAAGTGGGAAGGCAATGAGGCAGTTATAGAAATGGTGAGGGACAAGCGCATTGAATGTACTTCCCATCATTGAGACGTTTCGCTTATTTTCAAACACGTGACCTTAGGCTCAGATGTTAGGGCGCGGTGGTCATCTCTAGGGTATTCGAGTGCATTTAAGTACGATTGTAATCTCAATGTATGATCTATTTGTCGTTCTTCGTCTCCTCGTCTTCATTTGCAGTGGTGTAATTTGTAACGCCCATTTTAATTAATTTCATTTTTGGTGTCATTTTCATTCTTGGTGCGTGCTTGTGTGGATTTTTGGTTGCGGAGTAAGTTCCATAATATTCGAAAATATGATTAATAATGATAGTAATATGATAATTAGTAAGGTATTACTAATATTAATATTATTATTAATTATAATCATATTAAGTAATATTATCAGAATAAAGTTTATTATTAATTGGGATTTTGGAATAAAAGAAATATGAGGAATTAATATTATTATGAGATAAGTGGATTAAAAAGAGAATTATTGGGATTAAGGGCAAGCTTGTCATTTGTGGAAATCAGAATTGGAAGGAAAGAAAGGAACGCGTACGAAGAATACGGAAGGAGAAAGAGAAGCTCGATCGTGAAAGCAAGCTAGAGCAAGCAGAACTCGTGAAGATTTTGGTGCTTCATCAACATCAGAACTTCAATTGAGGTAAGGGGGAGAATTTAACGGTTAATGGGTTTTTACATGAAAATTGGTAGAAGGGGAATCCCTAACCCCATGTATGAACATATTGCATGTTGATGACGATTTGATGACAAATTTATGTTGCTGCATGTGCTTAAATCTGTTATGATCATGGATATTATGGTGGAATTGTTGTATGAATTCGAGGATTTGTTATTGGATGAGTTTGGGGATTTCGGAGTTGGAATAACTCTGAGTCAGAATTGGGGTATCCGGCTAGGACCGAGATTTTATCGGATGAATTAGGCATTGGTTAAGTGGGATATCGGTAGGATGTGTGGCCGATGATTTTAGAGTAAATTGGTGAGATTGGGAGAGAGGGGAAACTGCAGCTGTTGCTGAACAGCAGAGTTATTTTTCTGAAATCGCAGGCTTTCACTAGCCCTTCACTAGGCGAATGCCTGGCGAGCGTTCGTTAGGGGCTCGCGTAGCGAGCTTGGGCAGTGGCTGGTTGGGTGTACCCGCTAGCAAGTTCGTTGAGCGAGGTAGTAGCGAACACTTCCAGTAGCTCATAAGTGTTGTTCGCGAGGGGGTTTGCTAGGCGAACGTGTAGCGAACACTCGCTAGAAGCTCGCGTAGCGAGCAGGTAGTGAGTGTAGCAGAATTTGGAATTTGAGGGCTGTGTGCAGCTGTTGGCGCTAAGTGTGATTGGCCTGATGTGCCGTGATATTATATGAGGGTTAAGAGTATGACGAGGGGCATGAGGGCTGTGTGGCCGGAGTTTGTCGCGGTAGACATAATCGGAGGATTATGTGTTAATTATGGATATGTGTGAATGTGTATGTGAGGCGGGTGCACTGAGTGTGTGCTATGTGTGTCAGGTGTGCACCGTGTGGGCTCGGTGTATGATATATTTGGGTCAGTAGGTGATCGGGAAAATAGCAAGTGTACTATTTTTACCAATTGTAGTAATAAGGGAAAAATCCCAAGTATCGATCTCGAGGACTGCGTAGTAATTAACGGGATTTTTAGGATTCAAAGGAACAAAAGGTCTAGTGGTTTGTTTGGTAGCAGAGTGATATAACAAGTAAATAAATACTTATAAATCAATTTAAGAATAGTGTTAGGGGAGTGGAGACGATGCGAGTAAAGGCCATGCATGATTATTCTGCTAGAATAGTTATTAACCTTAATTCATCAGTTGGCCAATTTAGTTTTCTTAATTCCTTAATGAAAACCCTTTGATGAGTTTCCTGTACACTAATTCCTCAGTGTCCATGAAAAACATCAAGCAATAGTTCCGACCATAAAATACGATATACGGGATATCCTCATTCCTAAGCAATATCGACCGTGATACTATTTTGCAAAAGTGTTAGGTTGACTTTCCAGATTAAAACCTAAGCATAATTCGAATTCTACTTTCCAATATGAATACGCGTTAAGATTAATGCAAAATAAAATATATAAGGTGAATAACATAGCTCTAATAGAATAATCAAATAAAAGTCATTACATTGCAACTCAGGACCACCCCCTAACAACTTGGGGTTTAGCTGCTCATGTTCTTGGTAAACATAAAAGCAATTAGAAATGAAAAGGAGAAGATCATTACAATGTGAGTTGAAATCCTTGGATCATCAATTGCTTCCGCTTTTGATCGATCCTTTGTTTTCCAGCCGGACTCTCCTCTCAGTTATCAATCCTAATATCAGTTCAAAAAGTGTCTCCTACTTTCTAAAAATTGACTCTTATATCTAAATTCAAATTACATCGCGAAATGTCTCAAATGCCCTTCGAAATAGGTCTGACAACAAAAAATCAGAAAACATAAAAATTTCACTCTCAGTGGCCCTGACACGGGCCGTGTGGTGCAACACGGGTGGCCGTGTCAGGCTGCTGACTTCTTCAGGGCGTGTCTCATCTCCAAGGGCTGCAACACGGGTCGTGTTGCATGACACAGGCACCCGTGTTGTAAGTCTGAGTCTCCTTTTCTTCTGCTTTGGCCTACCCGTGTCTGCCAACCGTGTCCTCCATGACACGGGTCGTGTTGTGCAACACGGGTACCCGTGTTGTAGCTCTGACTTCCCTTTTCCGACTTTTCTTTGCCTCCGAAAGCGGTGCGACTGTCGTGCTATCCATTCCTGCCAAAAACACACTAAAAGAAACCGAATAAAACGCACCAGCGGAAAAAGTAATATAAACTTAAAAATAAGACTTGAAGACACACAATTACGAGTAATTCAGATAATAACAACTAAAGCTTTGAAAACATATAAAAACATTGCGAAATTAACAACAAATAGCGTTTGAAAACACAAGTGAAATCCACCGATCAAACTCCCCCGAACTTGAACTTTTGCTTGTCCTCAAGCAAAAAGCTCGCCAAACCGAACTTAATATCTTTTTCGTAACGGAACCGTCCATAGAATTGTGAGTTACGGTGATAATACTCATACTTGAACTTCTCATTCCAAGTCCCCTAGGATTAATCTCGGCTTTTCCCTCAAAACAGGTAACATGTAAACACTAGACTGCGGTAAACCACAGACCTCAGTCTCCCTATGGGTAACCTCTCCGACTATGCTTTGCACTTAAGTCTTCTTTTTCGACTTTCCTCCCTTTCATTCGGACAATCACTATACGGCTTTTATGATTTTCCTCGTGTGCACAAGATTTATCAATGACATCTTTCTTTTTCTGGCACTGTTATTCTTTTTGAATGGCTTTCAGGTTCGACCGCCGTTGGGCTGAATAACCGGGTGAGGGTTACCCAACTTAGAAGGATTAGTCGCCTAATTGCCCCCTTTTGTTTCTTTTTCTTTCTTTTTCTGTGCCTTAGCTCAATACTTTTCATTACTCTTGCACACGCGATTCTTTTTGATGAAACCTGATTGTCAAAATAAACTACTCAGGGGTACTTCTCAGATCAAAGCACTATGGTACAAATCTACACGTCGAACTCGTTCCTATTCGGGAAACCTAGGGTGTTTGCCTTTTACCTATCTCTCAAGATTATTCCGATTTCATCCTCACAGTTCTTTTCTGAGTATTCTATATACTTTCTCATCACCTCACTCAACATATTCACTAAACAGTTCCTCAACAATGTTATTAATTTTATTAGCTCAATGTCAGGGGGGGTTTTCCTGTGGACTTGCTATCATGTTCTCAAACTAACACTGGAAATTAAATAACCAAATAACTAAACCAGAATTGAAAACACACAAATAACATAAACAAATAACATAAAAACACAAATAAAATACCCCCACACTAGAATTCAACAATGTCCTCACTGTTGGAACACTAGTAGCAGAGGACTCACAGAGTTCATGGTTGTGGAGGTTGGTCGCGC